AGTACTGGTTATATTTAGAAGGTACTGTACCTCTGGAATAAGAAATCTCATTATGCTTATGGGATGTTATCCTATTTCAACTCACTTGTGTATAACTTGTCCTAGGCGTGTGTAATGCCTAATATCATGGCATAAGGTTATTTCTTTCAGTGTTTAGATTGTTAGGTAGTGCTCTCTCTAGTTTCAAATCCTTACTGAATGAAGTACCAGTATTTTATTTATGTCCATCTGCCTTTGCTGTAGCACACACAGAAGCAGACAGCTATGTGGTAAAGAATGATGTAGAACAGTAGCTGGAAAGCACTCCTGGATATTCTCTACTGGTTCTGGCACCAGAACTTCAAGCCCTCCTGGGTCTTCAGAAGGATGATGTTAATTTGACTTGCTCAGATTTGGGATCCTCTGAGGCCTGAAACGATATTTGTTCTTCCGTACCCAAGATCTGATTTTTGTAGGGGAATAATGTTGGCCAGTGACACTGAATTAGGTGGGAAAAATCTTGCCTCTGCTCTGACACTGGTGAAAAAAGGTTTATTTGTGAGCAGAATCATTCCTGTTACACGTATTGTGCAGCACAGCTTGTGCAGTACTTGCTGCCTCCTCTGGTGTGCAGAGGGAAGACTGCCCAGAGCCAGGGTGGGCTGGTGTGGGAGGAAGCCAGTGTGGTTGTTAACAGTGGGAAAGCTGGAAGGGTGTAATTGGAAACATGAAGACTGTGGGTTTTTTTCCTGAGGAATTTCATGGAAGTATGAGACAGTCTTGGCTGGTGGCTTTTCTAGCAGTGCAGCTGCAGTGCGACCATGCTGATGGTGCCAAGGTGCTGTCAGGACCAGAGCCAAAGTTGGAGATGAAGACTTGACACACCTTGGGTTAACTGTAGGAAAGTCCCTGTGCTTTTCATATAGGAAAGACAAACCTGGGCCATTGATTGGCATCATGGAGCTGACAGGCATTATGTTTTGGTTTTTGAAGAATTTGCCTGGGCTTCTTAACACATGCCAGGATGTCCAGTAGGTTGTTTTAAATATGGAAGTGTGACTTGCACCACTAGACTGTTGAAGGATATTTGCTTGGCTGATGTCCATCATTGCACTATGCTGTCCTATTCCTTTAATCACTTGAAAGTGGTGAATAAAGAGAAAGAACTGTATTGGCAGACAAAGTTTTCTTTCATGCTATTCAGAAACTTGCACTCTAACATGTAATTATGATGTAAAAAATATATAAGTAGAGAAAAAAACCCAACAACCAAACAAACCAGTATTCAAGGAAAAACGTGTTCAGGTGTTTTGTCTAACTCTCCTGAACAGTAATATCTACCATAAAAACTAATCATTGAGCTAAAGGAAGGAGGGGATTTCATGATCTGAAAATTGACTGGTGTTGGGACCAAGGCTGTGGGTTAAGCTAACATTTGCTTAGGAAACTTGGATCAACTGGAGAATTTTCAAGTTCTGAAAGACTGTTTATAAAATAAAAATGTTGACAAGTCTTTTACAGTTCACTGAGCAGAACTCATGTCTGTTGGGATTATATTGCCAGAGATGAGCTTGCTTGTGTTAAGTTATTTAAAATGCTCAGAAACAGTTTGCTTTAAGATGTTGAAAAGGGCTATTTTCTGTTTTGCTAGAAGGAAGTAGGGGAAAACCAACTTTGTTTTCAGTAGTAGTGTCCAATCTCTAAACTTGGGTATTCAGGATATTTTCTTTGTTCTCTGAAGTCCATAATTAATATTTGAATCCAAAGAATTCTCAATCTCTGTGAAAACAAAGATTTTTGAAAGCACATGTGTAATGCTCATGTGCGTCTGAAATACTTATGTATATTGCTGCATTTATGTTGTGCTCAAATGTACACAGCAATTGGGATGTTAGAGGCTCACCATTACTTGATGGCTGATAACAAAATATAGACCGGCTTTCAAAAGGAAAGACAGACCTGTTCTACAGACTATCCTCAGCCCAGCAAGGCACATAAGTTGCTAGGTGGAAAGGGTGTGAACTGCTCTTATGGCTTCAATGCAATTAGTTTAGTGACTTAAGTTATGCACAAGGTTAATCAGCTTGCTGAAGATGGCCCTAATGTGGTTACTGTGGAAAAGTTTGAGCTTTTAACACAGCAACATAAATGTTTACTTCCAATGGCCCCTGCTTTTGGTGAGGTTACCAGATGTTGCGCTTCTCTGTGAAAGTTAGCATAGCAACCCGATATTTTTAGTACAGTGTCTTTTTGGACTGCCTTTGCTGTATAGCCAGGACTCATTCTGCTGCTTCCAACCTTAGCCAAATGCTCTCTGCAGTTCAGTATGAAATTTCAGTTATTTCTTCTGAAACCTGAAAGGTTTAGCAATACTACAGATTTCCATCTTTCCTAACATTTTGGCCTTCATACTGAGTAAGCAGTCACTACAATTTGACAATATATTTTACATTTCATTTTCCAAGCAGTGTTTTATTAGATTAACTCGGATAGGAAGAATAGCCTCACATTTATAATGAGTGACTTGCACATTCAGGCAAACACTTTGTGATATTGAGTAGTTTAAATCTCCAGTGTATGAACTGTAAATTAACATTAAAGGCCTCTCTTAACATCCATTACTCTGTTTAAACAGTCGTGCAGAATTACTAGTTGCCAGTAATTTCTCCTTGAATACAAATATATCATCCGTTCTAATGTTGTTTTAACTCTCTTGATCTGCATGTCATGAAAAGAATATCTTAAAATTAGGAAATGGCAAGGCTGAATAGTGTAATGGATAATTGAGACTTACTGTCATTAAGTAGAAGTTTCAGGTTTGCTTGCAGCTCAAATTACTAATTTTCCTAAAAGCCAATGATACTTTGGTTGCTGAGCATGGTGTTAGAGGATAAATACCCATCCTGCTGGGACCACTGATTCAGCCTCTTGACAGTCTTAGCATAAAAAATTTGACCTGTGAAGATGTGAAGTATGCACTTTTCTGTTCCAAGAGATGACTTCCTTTACTGAGTAAAGTAGCCCTTTAAGGCATGCGGGCAGAACAGTGTGGAGAGTATTCACTACAGACTTTTTCTGACAAACAGAGAATTTCAGACCCTAGAGCTCTCCATTTATCATGTTGCACAAGTGTGAGAAATTTTGACATAGGCACAATAAATAAATCAGTAAAAACCCGGCAGCGTATGCTGCAGGATGCATTTCAGAGTAGAATCTAAGAGCAGAACTGTTGGTGAAGAGCTTGTTGTTTCCAGTTCATGTAGCAGTTGTGAAAAACAGCTTTGCATCTTCGTAATACCGCAGCAGTCTAAGGACTGGGATCCATGCTCCCCAAGGAGCTTAGGAAGCCTGGTGACATGCACTCACTACTTCTGAAGATTGAAATTGGAAACGGTGGCTACTGAAATCAGGACTGTTAGCACCCGTCTGTGATAATACCTTCTCGCTGTGTTGCCACATATTCACCTCACTGCAGTGTGTCTCTTCCTGCTTATCCTGCCTCCTCTTATCTTTGCTGTTGCCCACTGCATGCTGTAGGGTGCACAGTACTAGGCCATAAAACCTTACCTCCTCACCCATTCTCCATCACTTCTTGCAACGTGCTGTGCATCTTTTCTCACCTTGTGCAGCTAAACAAGGCAAAGCAGGGAGTTGGAAATTCATTACTTCTCAGAACTTATCATGCCTGAATATTTGTTTTAAATCACATGAGGATTAAGATCCTTTGAAGTTCCTTGATCAGTGTTTAGAGGAAAATAAAATGCCAGTTCAAGCTTCTGATCTTTCATAACAGCATATAGAACTCCAATGTTCAAATTTATGCTTAAAACAGCTGTTCCAGAGTCACATTTAACCAGAAATTAATTAGCCTGGAAAGGAATGACTAAAACTTAAATATAATCAAGTTTGTATTTCAGCTTCCATCTGTGGTGAAATCCAGAACTATTCAGCTTTATGATAATTCATGGAGATGGCTTGATTTTTATTCTTATAGTTTACAAATTTCTTCCTTGCTCATTGTCTTTGTGTATTAAGATTATCCTTATTTAAAAACTCCTCATGGTTTACCTTTCTTAGGAACATTATCATGCACAATTAGTTGAAACTTTTGCGGTGAGAAAAGGCATGTGCTCTAACAACAAAAGCCTGGCTCTATCCCTGTATTTGCACTGCTTAGCTGATATGTGCAAAAGCTGATCTGTGCTAATGCTTGATAATAGTATATGGCAGCTAGCTGTATGTATGGTTGACCACTTGTTTACCCAGTTACTGTGTTTATTCAGACACAATTAATACTTTCATACCTAAACTGTCCTTTTTTAATATCTAACCACTACTGTCCTCATCACTAGTGTGATATTGAGTGCCCAGCATAAATGGAGAGATCGACAAATTTATCCTTGGAGCAGTCAGTCTTAAGATATAGCTGTTTTGCAGAAATACTTGATTAGAAACAACTCACTTTCCTTGAACAATAAGAAATGAAACAGTGGACTTCTTAAAGCATACATTTAGAATGATCTTGCAAAACAACAACTTGTCCCAGCATGTAAGCTTTGTGTGCTGCGAAGCTGTAATGACAAATGCTTTGTGGAATAACTACTGTTTAAATAGTGGTCATGCGCATTTAGTGCAGCAATAAAAGGGGGTCTGTTGCTGATTTCAGACTTCAATATCTCCTACTATCAACATTCAGTTTATGGCAGCCTGGTGCCAACCCTATATGGACTAGGCTATTAGGTGCATTTAGAAAGCAAGTGTTGGGCTAGTTGTCAGGAAAAGTCTATACTGTGAGCATGAAGGAGCTTGATCTATCAAGACTGAGGTGCTGCAATGCATGTTTTAAGTATTTTTAGATCACATACTCATTGGACAAAGAATTTGTGTAAAAACTGCTTTAGTCAGAGAACCTGTAAATTGTTGTAGGTATATGGATGATGGTAGACTCTTTCCTGGGGGAAGCAGGCATTTAGTTGGTAAAATCTGTTTTCTTTTATTTTTTCTTTTTGTGATTAGTACATTTTCTAGCCTCTTGTTCACATAATAGTATCTTTTATTTCTTTGTTTTAGTCTTATTTCTTGTGATTAACATTACACTGTTCATGCCAATGAATTCATCTGGGGTTGACCAGCAGTGTGTTCAAGCTGGAGTTTGTACCCTCCTAATCCTAGGTCTCCTTCATTAATATCTTCCTTGCCCATAGCCTGGGTGAAGCCTGTTCTGTCCTGTGTTGGCACTGGTATGTGAGCAGATGATTCATAGTTTTCAGTCAATTCATCATTATTTATGATATAATCTGTGTTATCATCCTTCAGTTGATCCTGTATTCGAACAAAGAAAAAGATCAGTGAAAGGGCGACTCTTGAGGAGGATTTTTGTTAAAACTTAAATGAAGAACAAGTCTGATACAATTCCACTTAAATTTTATTTCATTATTTGCTTTTTTTTCTTTTTTCAGGTGTTAATTTACTATCTTGGTGTTGATTAAAGCAAATAGTTGCTTACCATGTTCTGCTCTTGAGCAGTGTTAAGAAACCTACCCTTCAGATCTTTAAGATAATTTCAGTGCTCAAATATCACTGATGGGTAGCCAATACTTTCAGCATCTGGCTGAATTATTTAGAACATGTCACTCGTATTTGAAGCTCACAGTATTAGTGGCCATTCTTGAAAATGTAGCACTGCCCCTTCCAAGACTTCTTCTCTGCAACCCTGAAGAAATTGTGGAATTCTTAGCCTTAAAAGTAATAAGCTTTGGAAAAGGAACTTTACTGAAGTGTTTCATTGAGTATGGCAGGTTTTGGATTACACCTTAAATACAGTTAACCAAGCTAGGTACTTACGCCATATGCACTGGGGCTGGTCAGAAGCCTGGCAACAGGATTACACCATTCAGGTAATGTCGTTGTGAGAGGTGGACCGGCGTGGGTTAAGATAGGTTTTAGGTATCTGCGAAGTTTGTTAAAGGATATTTCCCATACAGATATTGATACTAACATGCTTCTCTATTATACAAAGAAATGTCATTTTAAAGCATATGGGAATCATCTAACTGAATGGAAACATAGAAAATACCATCTCTTTACCCACCAGTTACTGCATATGTTCACCTGTCATCAGTCTTGTCTAATGTTTTTCAGTAACAACATCATCGTCTCCACCCCCCACCCCAAACCCAAACCCAAACCACTTGATGCTCAAAATATGTCTTGAAGGGTACCAGAATGGCTGAAGGGGATATGTTGTGGGATACATAGATGTAGTAGGAGCTGGAAGAGAGGAAATGTGTACTAGATTATCCTGTTTCTTATTCTCATCTACTGTTTGCTGTAAGTGTGGTCTTATGCAATTTTAACAGGAAACAATTTAAGATGCAACTGTATTGGCTACTTTATGTAAGAACAGTGGTGAACATTTTCTTAAACACATACACTCAGCCTTTTGTAAAATCAGTGCATTTCTTCAATAGGCAAAGTATATTTCATCAAATATTAAGTTTCTTTATCTCTGGGAGTGTACATAAGTTGTTCTCTGTAATACTTTATTTTCAGCATTCAACACATTTGTTTTACACTTCATACACCAATGCTCCTTTACATAAAATTATGTGAATAAATTAGGAACAGGCTTTATGCTATTGTCTCGCACCTGTCTTTCCAATCTTTTCATCCAAAAGTGCTTTATTGAGATAAAAGAAAAACCTGCTCATCTTGAGCAATTATATCATCCTTGTATCTGTCAATAACAGCTTTCCCATGAGCCCCTCAGGTTGACTTATCTTCTATGCTACTTTTACTCGCAAAGTAATTTTCAGTGTTCTTTGGGAAGCAGGTCTGTCAGCTGCTTTTGCTGGTAGGGAAAATTTGCTTTATTGATTGTTGTCCCACTTTCTCACCCCCCTGCTCCTTTCTCCCTCTTTCTTGCTTGTGCTCTCTCCCTTACTCTTTCTCTCTGCCTCCTTGAAGAAGAAAGGAACAAATGTAAAATTGAATAGTGATTTGAGCTCTGCAGCAATATTGTAGAAATACTGAGTAAGTAACAGGGGTCTTAAACCTAACTGTTCCAGTGCCTCCTTTTCATTCATTATTGGTTGTTTATGGTATCACTGCTATACACACAGAGTACAAATCCTGTATGCTGAAGAAACTGTTATGTAAAACATCCTTATGATCTCAATTACAGATAGAAAGGCTAAATAACTTGCTCTGCTGTCCTCTATCCTACAGCCATGGAAGCTGTTCTATAGTATCTGGGTTTTGTGTGTGTGCATTTGTGTATTTTTTTTAAAATTAAATTGCATCTGTCAGAAGATTGTGTGGTTCCTTCATCCAACATCATATACTGAGTTAGTGTGGAAAAATTAATTGAGCCTATTTCAAAAAAGATTGCAAGATTTTAATATAAATTCTTATCAGAACCATGATCAACATGGGAATCTCATGGGATCAAATTGTGTAGGTAAAGTTTAGATCCTCTTTCTTCTGTAAAAGCAAAATCAAACTAAACAATCCTTTTCTGATCCACTCCAATCTTATTTGAAACCTCTAAAGTGTCAAGCAGTTAAGAGCTATTATTAAAGAGCAATGTATGAAAGCCATCAATTAGAGTTTTGTTTTTAGCACTTCAGAAAAACCTAATTAAAAGGCCAAAAATGGAAGCAGGAGCCTAATTCTCTAAGTTTTTAATGTTTGGAAATATTGGCTTTGTTAGTACAAACAACTTGAATTGTTTGAACTGAGTTTTCAGACCTAGCATGAAAAATACAGGCTTGTAATGGAAGTTGTATTTGATTATACTGAGTTTTGTCTACTCTGTTCTTTTATTCTCTTCCAGAACAAGTAACTGAAGATGAATATTACTCTACATTCCCTCCATAATCTGACGATCTCTGAGCTAGGCCTTACTTCTAAGCAGCCTCATATCTATAATGAGCTTTTATACCTCTCAGTAAAAATTTGAGTCCTGTTTTCCACCCATGCTTGCATGAAGCCCAGCACCACATCAGATAGGAATAGAGGGTGCATGCTGAAACAGGTCATCTACTCGCCTGCCACAGTAGGCTGCCATCTTTTGAGCCACCACCACTTTTAGCATAAACTTTTGTGTCTGGTGTGTTTAACTGATTGCTATGTGTGTACACTGATCTTTAAGTTGAGTGATGGCTTCATTTTGGGCTGCAACAGGTCCTCTAAGTCCCCTTCCTTTTGCATTTGCTCTAACACTTTTATTGTGTATTGTCCACGCTTCTGGTTTGAAGCCTCTTGAGATGCAGAAACTTTTTTTATGGGCTCAAGCTGCGCCAGGGGAGGTTTAGGTTGGAAATTAGGAAAAATTTCTTTATGGAAAGGGTGGTCAAGAATTGGAACAGGCTGCCCAGAGAGGTGGTGGAGTCACCATCCCTGGAAGTGTTCAAAAAATGGGTAGACGTGGCACTTTGGGACATGGTTTAGTCTAGTCTACCCTTGATTTGTTTAGTGTGGAGTTGGTAGTGTTAGGTTAATGGTTGCACTGGATGATCTTAAAGGTCTTTTCCAACCTAAACGATTCTATGATTCTATGATTCTATAAGACAATTTTCTTGTGCTTGTTGTGATGCTTCTGATTCTGTAATAAATTATTTATCTCTTTGTTCCTTATTTAACTAGTTATTATTCAGCCCACTAAAGGAACTTAAATTGCACTGGACTGTTTTTCATTGTTTTAATAACCTATGCCATAAATGTTTCCTCTTTATTGTTGACGCAGTTGCTCTGTAGTATTACAGACGTAATCACATCGTTCAGTGCAGCATGAAAGAGGAATTCTAATCCATGTGCAGTGCTGGCATTTCAAAAGTATATCAGACATGGGTCTATAGCATTTTAAGTCTGGCAAGAAGTCTTATCACACTCCAGCTGCTCTGGTTGCATCTCCCAGCACCTCCAGGGAGAAATAATTTCAATTGTGTAATAGAAAAAGGTAGATTTTTACACTAAGGCTGCTTTAAAAATTGGAAGAAACTAAGTGTAACCCTCTTTGCATAACTCAGAATTTACTGCCAAACCAAATTCATGCCTCCCTAATTCAGGGATAGGGAAAAGATAGTGGGGAAAACATTGTATCAATCAACCCATTTTTAGATTTGCACTTCAGCCCTCCATGGGCAGAACAGCCCACCTGCATGTCTCAGATTCTACACCATACAACATACTGTGTTGAAGAATATTATTAATATTGTAAAGGTGGTAACTTCTAAGTTGGGAAACTGAATTTGGGATGCCTGTATAGGCACATGTGTAGCATTTTAATCTGTATACAGTACTGGCATATTAGCATGTCTTACTTTCATAATCAAATACCAATTTTTTCATTGATTCCCCATATCTCCAGGCTTCCACTCTCAGTTCACGTGCCCAGAAATGTTTACCCTGGGTCCCCTCACTGCTATTTGAACATCCCTTTGCCCAGGCAGTTCCAGTCTTCCCTTGCCACTAGCCAGGCACAGTTCTTCACCCTTCCTGTCTCACTGACACCAGACTCAACATCTAAATCTGCTTACTCCTTCCTGGTTCAGCCTCTGTGTCTTCTGAGTTTTACTCAGTCCTCTTCTGTACCGCACAGCAATAAGCAAAGAAGGCAATGACATTGCAGATGATACTGGGCACGTGTCTGAACACTGTAGCCTAAAGCTGAACTACAGGCAGGTTGTCTGCTGGGGCTGATGAGGCTGAGCAATTCAAATAGGGGCTGTGGGAGGGTACAGTGTGCTCAGTGGCAACAGGACCTTTGGAATTTAGCTCTTGAAATTCAAGAGGGGGTTTTTTTTGGTTGGTGGTGTTTTGTGGTGATGTTTTTTGCTCTCTTTTTGAAAGTGTATGTGACCTAGTTTAGGTTGGAGTTTCAAAGAAATGGCAAAAGGCATTTCCAGGTGGAATATGATGTCTTTGCTCTAAGTATAGTGCATTTAAAAATAATCTCATGAGGATTTATCAGGAACAAAACAATGGAATTGTGTGAGCTTTATTTTTTTTTTTTTTCCCCCCAAAACATTATGCCAGAAACAAACATGTATTATGGAAATTTTCCTCCTATATAGCTACTGTTTCACAAAAGTACAGGTAACCTGAACCAGGCTTTTCAAGTGAGAAGTCTCAGGTAATCTTGATAAGAAACACTACTGCACTAGCCATATTGCAGAACATCTAGGGTTTCCACTATGCAGAAAATTCTGCAATTTCAAAATAGTTTTTGCATTATATCATGATGAAAGATCAGAATCTCAGAATTTCTGTTCTTTCAGCCAATAAGCATCAAATGACCACACTTTATTAAATTGACATGTTCTGTCCAAATTTTGAGAATGTTGGTAAAAATAACTATTTATCTTTCTGATAAAATGGCATTAGCGTGCTAAAATAGGGAAAAATATTCTGGCAGAAATGTTGTGGCTGTTTTGACTCAGACTTAAAGGAGGTTCACTTCTCTCTTGTTGGAGGAACAGTGTCCTAGTCCAACTGTGGCTCTGCTGAAATGCGTAGCAGTAAGAAAGAACTAACTTGTAGTTTGGAATGGAACAAAAACCAGCCACAACAACAAAACCAAAACCAAACACCCCCCACAACCCTCCAGCAAAGCAGAAGATGCGCCACAGTTTGAAATACGGATGGCAGCTCTGCTTCAGCTCTAAAGCCCCGCATTTGGCCCAGAAGGTGTTTCGCCTTTTGCCTCATTGCATGATGGGGGCTCTGTCACTCAAGGTAATCCAATTCTCCCCAAAGGCAAATATGCTCACACTATAATATTTACTATTTAAAAGCCCCAAAGTAGAGGAATTCTTGTGATACTGTTGCCTTTAAGTAGTAGATCTTGTTATACTAATGAAATATAGTCCTTGAGTAGCAGTGAAGCATATTTTGCTACCTTGATAAAATGGAAGAAGGAAGGGAGGATGGCTAAGCAGCTGGTTGCTG